AATTAGACTTCACAGGCAAATACAGAAAATTAAATACTTGTAAACAAACAAAGTACCTTAGCTCTTTTAATAGAGAAGACTCAATTTTCTTAAGTAATCAAAGACTTGATAAAGACAATGTGAAACAGGAAATTATTATTTTTTGCGGTACGCGGGCCTCTCACTGTTGTGGCCTCTCCAGTTGCGGAGCACAGGCTCTGGATGCGCAGGCTCAGCGGCCATGGCCCACGCGCCCAGCCGCTCCACAGCATGTGGGATCCTCCCGGACTGGGGCACGAACCCACGTCCCCTGCATCGGCAGGCGGACCCTCAACCACTGTGCCACCAGGGAAGCCCGAAACAGGAAATTATTTTGATAAGACACAAAATCTTTATCTTCTAGGCAAATTACTTAAAAGAAAGAAAAACCATTTACAATCTCTTACAAGAGCAGATCAATAGTGCACAAAATCTTTGTCCTTTTAACAGAGAGAAAACCAAATTCTAATATTGCACCAGCTACTTTTGATATTAAAACTCAATTTTCACTCAAATAAATTCATTTTAATATTAGCCAGCTTAACCATGCATAAAATTATTTCCCAAGATTCCTTTCCCATAAACCTTTTACAACTCTTTTTTTACATTTAGATTTTGTCCTATGTTTTCCTTCTTTTCCATTCTGAAATAACCAGCCTTAGGACAAAATTACTTCCCTTTCCCTCAACAAAAATCCATTTCCATTCCTCATACCTTCTTTTACTGAAAACATACATCCTACTTTCCTTGCATATGGAAACTTTCCTTTATTATTTCTAGTAGTTTTAATTACATATAACTTTTAACCCTTAAAAACTTTAATTTCTACTGAAAATAAATAAGTAAACAATTGTGAACTATTTTATACATTAGCATTTTGTGGCAAATTTATAAACATTTTATATTTTCTAGAAACATATGCTTTTTCATAGTGATTTTTTTTCAGTGTGGCACAAAACATGTTTACTAATAAACCCAAATATCTTTAGCTGCTCTGTAAAACAAAACCAAAAGTGGATAAACCTACATTCAGTAATTAGTGTTTCAGTATTTCATCTTATTTGGAAATTATCTAGATATTTAATGACTATCATTTAATTTAACTTAGCAAAACTTTAAGGTTTCAGGTTACCAAAAAGATTTGGGGAAACTGCTTAAGCAGATATACTGTAAAATATAATTATTGCTAAAAAGTTCACCTAAAAACTCTTATCTCACTTACATCTATTTAATTCACTTGTTTTCAACAATTATGCTTAGATTACTTCATCATACCAAGTTATGTTTCTTACTGACAAGTTTTATAACAGAGATATCATGAACTTATTTGACTAATAAACCTAGGTAGAATAAAAGTTGTATGTCTGCATTATATTCAATGTTGATAACTCTAAAGACATGTCTATTTTAATTAAACCAACAGATTTAAATTAGCTTTAATACCAAATATTTTCCTAGATCACACAAACCTGAAAAGCATTTGGGTTAGTTTCTATTATATTTTTTGAGAATTTTATAAATACTTAATTCATATAGGCATTCATTTTCTTTAAGCCAATTAAACAGAACTCTTTTACAAATTAATTTTGGCAATACCATCTGGAGGTAAAAAAAAAAATACCACACATCTACAACATATATAGAGACACACATAAACATACAGATGCAAACTTTATAGTTGAGACTTTATAGTTCTTGTCCTAAAATTTTAACCATGAGACAGATATGATAATATAAAACTCACTAGCTTATAAAAGAACAGTTGAAATAAGTATACCTGCTCCAATGGCTATGGCTAAAGCTTCTTCTAATAATATTTGTGGAGAAGACACTGAAGATTTGTATTTGTCCTTAACAAGTAACCTTATAGAAGCTGTGGACCAGATTTGGGGCAAGAGAGCTTTTATAGCAGTTTGTATTTTTTAAAAGCCTTCCCCCCACTTTTTTCTTTCATTCTCAGGAATTGGCAATGGTCTAGATAAGAGTTCCCAGAGAAAGACTAGGTAAAACATTTACTTCTCAAAGGCTCAGGGAAAGAATGCAAGTTCCTCCAAGAAGGACTTTTGTTCTTTAAAGACCAGAATTTTTACAATACTTACAAGCTTTCTGAGATAAGTAGGGGAGGTTTTGGGATAGGTAAAAAAGATAGGTGGACTGCATTTTTTCTGGAGCCACATTTCTGGTTTTGCAAAGATCTGTAAGATAAGGACAGTTGCTTTTAATTTCTCAAGAAATTGGGTTGCAACTTAAATGGCATCATAGGTTGTTCCACTCATCCAACCACATTATCTTCAGTCTGCTTTTCTGTATCAGGGAGAAGATTCCCAACTAAGATGAAAACCAAAATATTTCTATGTTCTGGATTTAGAAATATTTGTCTTTGGAATGTTTTAGTAAATCCTTCCACAAAGGCTTCAGAAGGTTTTTCTTTCCCTCTGGGTGTATAGTTTTCATTTTAGCTTGGGGGAGAAGGCCTTTAAAAAAGTTCCCAGGGCTTCCCTGGTGGCGCAGTGGTTGAGAGTCTGCCTGCCAATGCAGGGGACACGTGTTCGTGCCCCGGTCCGGGAAGATCCCACGTGCCGTGGAGCGGCTGGGCCCGTGAGCCATGGCTGCTGAGCCTGCGCGTCCGGAGCCTGTGCTCCGCAGCGGGAGAGGCCACAACAGTGAGAGGCCCGCGTACCACAAAAAAAAAAAAAAGTTCCCAATAGGCTTTGAATATCAGCTTCAATTTGGCCAACTTCTGACCGCAGAGCTACTTTAAAAAAAAAAAAATCCTTTCAAATATCTTGTCAGGTTTCATCTGGGAAAAACAGTAAATATTTCTGGCAGTATTGAACAATTCCTTGGACTAAAGAGGCGCCCCCAAAGAGGGTGCAAACGGTATTTTATTTTCCTTTCTCTACAGGATACAACAGACAGAGATCTGGGAGAGCCAACTGTAGCAAGAATTATTACCCTTAGCCAGCTTCTGCCAGTTTTCCCAGGATCCCATCTGCAAGCTCTGAGTGGGGTTTAAAGTAGAGAGTGTAAGCTCTGGTATCTACCAGAATTTGGTAAAGTTTTTGATTGATTTTAACTTTAGTTTCCCCTTGGCTGCTTAAGGGAATAAAGTAGCAGTTTACTAGAAAAATCCCTCAGAGTCTCATCAACTCTGGCCCCTCCTTAGAAGGTAGATATGGGGGCATTCAAGCTGATGTGAAGAATTTGCATAGGACCTTTGAGGATCTCTTTTCCAGTATCCCAGTTGATTACAATAGATATCAATCTCTAGGACAGCATTTTGATGATGGACCCCTAGGAGGGTGTAATTCAGGAGGCCTTGGTGTTGTTTTAGATACCTTTTGTGTCTTTGATTTTCCATTAGCCTTTTACAACAAAATTTTCACTGAAGCTATTTTGGAATCTAGAAGCCTTTTGGAAGCTTCTACATATCAATTAAAATAGGTATCCCATTCTGTTTGTTTGATTTGGGAACCTTTGATTTTTAGTGAACCTCTTAACTGAATGATCTTGTCTACTTGGAACATTCCCCATAATGGCCATTGTAATTCTAGGATTTTTTTTAGCAAGATTCTGCCATTTTTGTAGATATTTATAGCTTCCGGGACCATAGTTCTTACACATAAAATAAGCAGGTGTGCCAAAAGGTGGTGCATTCAACTCTTTGGAATTTAAGGATCCCATTTCTTTTAGCTAATCCTTTTTGGTCTCTTGGAGCCAAACTACAGTAGTCTGTCCTTAATCACAGGGGAAACATTCCAAGAAAGACCCCTAGTGGATGCCTGAAACTAAGGATAGTACCAAACCCTATATATATTTTTTCCTATACGAACATACATACATACTGTAAAGTTTAATTTATAAATTAGGCACAGTAAGAGAGTTACAATTATAACTAATAACAAAATAGAACAATTATAACAATATACTGTAATAAAAATTATGTGAATGTGGTCTCTGTCACAAAATATTTTATTGTACTATACTCACCCTTCTTGTGATGATGTGAAATGATAAATGCCTATGTGATGACATGAAGTGAGGTGAATGACTTAGGCATTGTGATGTAGCGTTAGGCTACTATTGACTTTCTTATGATATGTCAGAAGGATCATCTGCTTTGGGTGATCCTAGATCATTGAGCCATGATGATGTTGATGGCTGGATGTCAGGAGCGGACAATGTCACTGGTTGGGGATCCTGGGCAGGATGGAGCTGGAGGGCTCAAGGTTTCATCAAGCTACTCAGAATTGTGTGCAATTTAAAATTTATGAATTGTTTAATTCTAGAATTTTCCATTTAATACTTTCAGACCATGGTTGACTAGGGGTAACAGAAACTATGGAAGGTGAAACTGCAGATATGGCGGGACTACTGTAATACCTAAGAGGGTTGTGCTGCTGCATTGGGGATTGTGTGGTGTTTTACAGCATACCTCATTGCATGGAAATTTTCTTGAGGTTGGTGATCAACTTATCCTAACACAGGAATCTTAGAGTTAGGTGGTGAGTGCTCCATCAGTTTTTAAGTACTTGACCCATGCCCACCAATTTTGCGACTTTTGGCTTCCAAGAATCCCATTAGCAATAGCCCTTATCTACACAAAACAAGACAAACAAACATGTGCACCTTAACACACCAGCAGTAACCAAGAGATGTTACTGTGGCCTGGACAAGAGAAGGCCCTGTACACACCACCAGCAATTCCCAATGTGGAACCTGGGACTCGGGAAAGGACTGAACCAGAAGACCCAGCAAGTGGGGACTACAGACTGGGATTCTAAACAAATGGGGAACTATTGACAGAATCGCCAGCAGTTCCCAACGTGGAATCTGGGGACTAAACTAAGGGCTGGGGTTTTCCAGTCAAATAGGGGATTGTAGTCTAACTACCAGAAGGTCCCAATGTGGAACTGCAGAAAGCCAATTAGATTGGAAGCTCAAGGCAAAGAGAGTGGAGCTCAGAACCAAGAGGAACTTACCCACGGCCCTCGGAAATGGCGAGAAAGAGAACTCAAGGGGTTCACAAGGTATCACTCCTGTGTTTCTCATTGTCCCTGAAGCCATCAGAAGTCTCCTTCAGTCCCACTGCTGCCACCGAATCTGTTAAACAACAAAGTTCAACTGAGTAAATTTTAAATATCTTATTGGCTTTATTAAACAATTCATGAATTGGGCAGCATACCATCTACCAAATAGGAAAAAGCTCTGAGGAGCTGTACAAAATGGAAGACTTTTACAGGTAGAAGGAGGCAGAACAAGGAAGTTATTCTAACAAAGAGCTGGTTGTTTCAAGCAAGGTTACCCTCCTCTGGGGGACAGCAGGGGTCCATCAAGGAGATTACCTTTTTAGTGCTAACCAGGAAATTCCAGACTGACTGGTTAAGATTACATTCCTAGGAGAGGCTGAAACTGTAATTCGGTTTCCTATGTATTAAGTCTCCATTTGGTGACATGGGCTTAGCACAAGTGACTCCATTTTGGGCCTTATCTCCTTTTTTTAAAAATTAATTTATTAATTTATTTGTTTATTTTTGGCTGTGTTGGGCCTTCGTTGCTGCACATGGGCTTTCTCTGGTTGCAGCAAGTGGGGGCTACTCTTCGTTGAGGTGCGTGGGTTTCTCATTCCGGTGGCTTCTCTTGTTACGGAGCACAGGCTCTAGGAGCGTGGGCTTCAGTAGTTGTGGCACGTGGGCTCAGTAGTTGTGGTTCACGGGCTCTAGAGCACAGGCTCAGTAGTTGTGGCGCACGGGCTTAGTTGCTCCGCGGCATATGGGATCTTCCTGGACCGGGGCTCAAACCCATGTCTCCTGCATTGGCAGGCGGATTCTTAACCACTGTGCCACCAGGGAAGCCCCCTTATCTCCTTTTTAACATACAATTTCCATAGTATAAAAAACTGTATGAATATGTGTCTATATATGTATATGTATACAGAAACATCTCTTGGATATGTACACCAAAATAACAAGGGTTGTTTCTACGTGGTGGGAGTTTTAGATGATCTTGATTTTCTGCTTCATACCTTTCTATTATGTCTTCTGAATTTTTGTTATCACTATTCCTGCTGCCCAGGAGTAAGGTCAGCTTGATGAGCATACAACCTGTGCTATCACACAGGGTCCCATGCTTAGAAGAGCCCATGTTTGGTTTAATATTCTGCTGTCACTATTTTGAAATTCTGAGTAATTCATGAACAAGGGGCCCCACATTTTCATTTTGCACTGAGCCCTACAAATTACATTGCTGGTCCTGTCAGGAGTATAGCTTGCCTCTTCAACTCTCATCCGGAAATGTGTTGTTCTACAACCACCACGTGAGAACTTGCTACTCTCATTTTTGTTCCTTCAAGTAGAAGGGTAATACCTCTCAACAAGGAGGCTTTTGACCTATTTTTTCCACTGTCAGCAAGACTATCAATCCTCTCCCTGAAGGGAAGGGAAAGCCTCTGAGGGCAGATTATTTTTTCTTCCCTACTAGATTTTAGTTTTACACTCTCTCCCAGCCCCTGACAGGGTGGATTGCAGGTGTCCATAATAGAGTACCTACGTTCCAACATGCCAATTCTAGGAGGAGAAAAATCTGTTCTCCTGTGATCCACAATCGATCCCAGCCACTACTCTAGCATCAAATGCATATGTGTACATTTACATATGTGAATTAGTGTTAAGTCATTCTATAATGAGCCTTCGTGCCTAGAGCCTTGCCAAGCAAGGTTTTCATAATATCCCTAAGTAGTTTAGCAACAACTCAGAGCAACAACTAAAGCCAATCTTCATAGCTATCAGTGAATATACCCACGCCCATATTCATGAGATTTCCTTATAGTTTATTCCCATCAACTAGGCTTTTTATTGTCAGGAAGTTTCATGTAATTCTCCACCTGGAGATTTCACTGTGCATTCCTTCCTTTGGACCTTTTATAAAGATTTTTTTTAAACTAGCCTCCCCACCAATCCCTAAGAAATCATATTTTCAAAATGTCAAAATAATGTCCTTAACCTCCTTTAACTCTACGTCTGTTTCTTATTTCTAAGGTGATATCTACTGAGAGGAAAGAGGGTCAAGGTCCTATAGTGACTCAATTCCCTTAAAAACAGTGGTCATGGGAATTCCCTGGTGGTCCAGTGGTTAGGACTCTGCGCTTTCACTACTGTGGACCCGGGTTCAATCCCTGGTTGGGGAACTAAGATCCTGCAAGTGTGGCATGGCCCCAAAACAAACAAACAAAAACCTAAAAAACAAACAAACCCAAAACAGTGGTCGTAAGATCTTGTCAAAAACTTTTGGAGGTCAATTTATATTATATCCATCAAATGTCTTATCTGCATGTTGTTTAATCCTTCAAATAAACCCACTTAGCTAGATAAGAATTATAGAAATCACCACATTTCCTCTAAGGAGTTCTTTTGGTTCAAATATCCTCTACTAGCTTTACTGACATGACATCAAACTCCCCAGTTTTTGAGTGACCTCCATTGTTCCATAACTGTCACATAAACAAAAAACTTTTAATTATGGATATTTTCAAACACACACAAAAGTATAGAAAATAGTGCAATGAAGTTCCAGGTAGCTACTACTCAGCTTCAGCAATTACATTTGCCTATCTCAATCATCACTTTTTAATCTTGTTTCTCGATTTAAAGGAAATTTTGAGCATTAGATTCTAACTAGGAATACAGCCAAATTCATATTCTCACTTGAAATAAAGCTGTCACCTAAGTAGCAGTTATCTAGTTAAAATCAAAGAGCATCCCCATTTCCAGATTTTCCATCTCTAACCAACCTGCTTTCTAACTCCCTCTCCTCCCGCCCCTGAGCTGCAACTGGCACTTGTCCCAGCTAACTGGTCTAATCCTTTCAACTACTTAAATGTAGGACAGGAGGACTTTGAGAATAGATTTGCTTAGCATACTGCAGAAGAGGCAAAATTGCCCTCTGACCACTGCATCCCAGGGCAATTCCATTTCAATTCTTTAACTTCTGTAGAAGTGAACAAATAACAGCATTGGAATAAAGCTTATTTTTCAGAACTTTTGTTCAAAGCTCAGTGTAAAAGCATGCCCACGTCTATCCATGTGAAAGTGGATATTACACAAAGTAGGCAAGAAGAGCAAGGCTCAGAGGGAATAAGATGGAAGATTAAGTTATGGATCAAGGGAAAGGAAGCAATGTTTTTAGCCTCCCTCTGGGAGACTTTATCTCCTTTATCTTCCCAGCTACTTCAGGTATAATCTAATTCCCATTTTACATATGAGGAAACTGAGGAAATTCAAACCTCAGAAGTCCTATGGCTCAAGACACCAGTTTGTTAATGTTGCAGGAGGAACTGAATCTGATCTATTTGACTCCAGAGCCATGCCTTTCTAAGTCAGGAGCACTGGAAATTGGTTGGGATCCCCAGGACAATCCTTTCTGAGGCCTGAGCCTGCAAACAAATACCACTTTGTAATAAGACTTTCTCTCTTTCTCACCAGATGGTCCCCTAAATTAGTTGAAGCCTGTGGGCCTTAAATATAAAATAGGCAGATGCATCTTGATTATAATACAGCAGTTTGGTTTTAGTTGCAAGTGTTATGCTTAAAATGCAAGAATGTGATTGATTTACAGAATTTTTTTTAAAGGATAGGGGTTTTTTTGTGCTTGGCCAGCCCAGCTCCTGAATGCCTGGCTGCTCTCCAAAACAGACAGAACTACACCTAGGCAGGCCACCAAAAGTAAGGGTTCTATTTCTCTGGGACAGCCCTGAGCAACAGGACCTTCGCGCAATCCATACTGCTGATGCTGCCTCTATGAGACCCACCGGAGGCAGTTCTTGCTCTTCCTCCCTTAGCCAGACTAGGCGAGAGGTATTTCGTCAAGAAGTCCCCAGCTTGCTGGAATAATATCCACCCAGCTCCTTCTTTGCCACTGGCATTTACCCTAGCCTGCCTGGATCTAGAAGCTGATCCCTCTGGACTAAAGATCGTGCCTCTTCTTCTCCAATGAGTTGAGGGGACAAGAGGCAGGTTTAAAACTTGCTTCTCTTTTACTCACACTTAGTATGCCTGTTTCGTCTGTACGTAAAGACTCCACTCACCTACAGCTATGAAAAACCCTGCTCTAACTTTGGAACTGAGAAATCATTCTTTATTCAGACACGTGCTTCCTCCACAAAGCATAGCAGCTGGGTGCATTGGAGGCAGCAGTGAGGGTGCAGGATCCAGGAGGGATGGGGAAGAAAGCAATTCTGAAAGGGAGTGAGGAGCAGTCTCAGGGAAGGGAGATGTCATCAGAGGGTTAAGCAGGCAGCAGGAAGGAAGAGGAATTCACTATTGAGGAGAAATGGAGAAGGGACTAAGTACCAAGCATTATGCTAGAGGCTTCACATATACCAAGTGAGGAGGGACTGGAAATGGAGAGAAATTTATGAATGTTATTAAACTAGTGCAGGCAAGAAGTAATTAGGGACTTAAGAGAGTGGTGGCAGTTTGAATGGGAAAGAGAGGACAGAAGCAGGATTCACTGTGAAGTGAGGCTCGGCCCGACTTAGCAATTGATTGGGTGTAGAGGTCAAGGAGAAGGAAGAAACCAAGAGCTTTGGTTTTCATAATAAGTGACTGGGAAGATAAGAGGAAATGATTGTCAGGAGATGGATTTAGACAAGGTTAATCAATTCAGTTTGGGGCCTATTTAAGCTTTTAAAATTTTTTGTTATGCAAATTTCAAAACATAGACGAAAAGAGAGAATAGGATATTGAAGTCCCATATACCCACTACCTAACTCAACAATTATCAACTCACAGCCAATCAATACCCTTACCTATTCCTTCTCTCCCCAACGGGATTATTTTGAAGTAAATCCCGGACATCATATGATATTATCCATAAACACTTCAGTATGTATTTCTGAAAGATATTCCTAACATAGCCACATATAATTATCTCACCTAAAAAGGTAACATTAAGCCTTTAATGTCATCAAATACTTAATGTCATCAGTAATTATTCAAACTTCCTCAATCGGCCCCTTGTTTGTTTGATTTATATAGTTGATTGGTTAAAACCAGGATCCAGATAAGCAGTCCCACTGAATGTAAGATTCTGTCTGAAACAGCCATATGGAGATATCAAGCAGGCAACTGAAATTTTGGGTCCAAAATTCAAGAGGTAGAGGCCAGAAATATAGATGTGGAAATCATCTTCCCAGAGAGAATCGTTGAAGCTATTTGAATAGATGAAGCTATTGAGTATGTATTAAAGGGGAAGAATATAACAATAAAAATGGCCCAAGGATAGAACCCTGGGGAAAAACTACATTTTGAAGAGAAGAAAGAGACTGAGGATGGGGACGAGGAGGGATTAGTCTGGGAAAGAAACAAGAAGCTGAAAAGTTGAAAAAGAAAACAAGATAGTGTTGTCCCTGGAACCAAGAAATGAAAGTGTTGCACAGAGGGAGGACCACAAAATTTTCCTCACTCAATGTTTTCCCTCAAAAGAGCCTTGTACTAGGACTCAGTCCCTACTCTACTGTGTGACTTTCTAGCTGTGTTACAAGTTGAGCAAGTCACCTCCCTAAGTCCAAGATTCTTCAGATTTAAAAACAGATAAGACCAGTCCTGATTAACAGGCTGCTATGAGGATCAAATGAGAATGGAATCATGTGAAGAAGGCCTTTGTTAACTGCAAAGCACTGGACAAATAGGAGAGGCTGTTCGTTCAATACATCCTTATTGTTATTTTTATTAATTATGTGAAAATATAACTGCTGAGTAGAGGATTTAAAGTTTTTAATATTAGGAAATCCTGAATTTGAAAGGCCATGACTCTTCAAGAGTCTCATTAGATATAATAGCTGGCTCTTAGGAGCATCTATTGTGTGCTAGACACCGTTCTAAATCCTCCACATACCTTAACTCATTTGATCCTCAAAAAAAAATCTTATGAGATAGGTACTACTATTAACCTTGTTTTACAGATGAGGAAGCTAAGGCTGAGAGAAGTGACCTAACTTGCCCTAGGTCACACAACTAGGAAAGTAGCTGAGCCAGAGCTTAAGCCAAGTCTTTCCTATGCCAGAGCCTGACTTCTTAATCACTACACCAAACTTCCTCTTAAAAATATGCCTTGGAAAATTAGAAGACCACCATATTGCAACCCTAATGAATTATGGATCTAGGCATCAATGGCAGCTACCATCACAAAGACAACCAGACAGGGCTTCCTTGGTGGCACAGTGGTTAAGACTCCACCTGCCAATGCAGGGGACACGGGTTCGAGCCCTGGTCCAGAAGATCCCACATGCCGCGGAGCAACTAAGCCCATGTGCCACAACTACTGAGCCTGTGCTCTAGAGCCCATGAGCCACAACTACTGAGCCTGCGTGCCACAACTACTGAAGCCTGCGCACCTACAGCCCATGCACTAAAACGAAGAGCAGCCCCTACTCGCCGCAACTAGAAGCCCGTGCACAGCAACAAAGACCCAATGCAGCCAAAAATAAACAAAACAAAATAAATAAAACATAAAAAAAAGACAACCAGACATAATGTTCCTGAAGGAAGCACATGCCACCACTTATGAAGTAATTTTGCACCCCCTCCCTCCCCCGCAAAAAATTGAACCTGAATCAAACAAAGCTTTTAGATTAGGGTTATGGTTGCCAGATGAATTTCAGGATGCCCAGTTAAAACTGAATTTCAGATAAACAACAAATAATATTTTTAGTGTAAGCATGTCCCACGCAATATTTAGTATGTCCCATACACTAAATCTGGGACACAGTTATACTAAAAAAGTATTCATTGTTTATCTGAAATTCAATTTTAACTGGGAACTCTGTATTTCTATTTGCTAAATCTGGCAACCCTACTTTACATCCAACTACCCATTTATAAGGAACACAAACGGCAGAGAAACACATTAAAGGGACCAGAATAAGGCTATCTGCACCAGACTGGGTAAATGTACAAGACAAACAACCAGACTTCTTTAACAAAGAAATGTCAAGAGCGAGAGAGAAAGAGAAAAAGAGAAACCTATAGACTAAAGAGACTTAAAAGACACAAAACTCGATCACTATGTGTAGACTATTTAGATTCTGCTTCAGATTATTAAAATACCACGACACTTGTGAAATTATTGGTAATTTGAACACTGTCAAGTAATTCCATAAGTATATTAAGGAATTATTCATTTTTTAGTTTTCTAGTGGTATTGTGGGGTTTTTTAAGAAGCCCTTATCTCTTATACATTTTGAAATGTTTATGGATGAAATGACGTGTCCCAGAAGTGCTTCACAATAATATGGAAAGGAGGGAAGTGGAAAGAGTATAGATGTAATAAGATTGGCTTTGAATTGAGGATGTTGAAGCTTCCTTAAAAAGTACACGTGATTTCATTATACTTTTCTATTTCGGTATATGTTTGAAGTTCCCCATAATAAAAAAAGGCTTTTGAAAAAAACAATACCTAAAACAGAGCCTGACCTACTGTAAACACTTAATACATATTTGTTGGCAGGCAAATGGGTTTGTTAATTTTAAAAAAGGAAAGCTTCCAGATGGTCATCAAATGGGAAAACATTTTAAAATGAGATTGCAAGCATGAATATGCCTGAAAACACAAATGAGATTCATTTAGGGACCAAACTATACTCAAATGGAAACAATAATGAATTTGCTCAGACAAGGGAATTTGTTTATTAAAGATAAACAGTTGTGAAATTCTGGGCAGAAGAGGTTCATATATTATAGCTATTAATTTTGGTAAACACAGAAGACATTTTAAACCCTTCAAAAAGATGTTATGCAGAAAACAATCCACCTTAGATTTTCTTCAATATTTATTATTCCACTGAACTGTTGTAGAAAGTCATGTTAATTTCCCAAAGGCCTTTGGACAGATTTCGAAAATTTGAACGTTCAAATGCAAGTGATCGCCAATTACTAAAAATTAATGATTTCTCATGCTGAATAATGCATGCACTTGGCAGGAGGACTTTACCAAAAATGCAGTGTTGTCAGTTTTTAATGCAATCTTGCCTTACCTGCTGGCTACATGAAGGCAACCAAATTCAAAAGCAACCCTCAGCCCCCCACACACAAGGAGCAGGTTAGTGTGTTTACTGAAGTATTTAGTGCAGGTGAGATAAGCTGTTTATTTTATGCTTAATGTTACACTATATGGATGCACCGTAATTAATTCAACCATTCTCTTATTGACGGATATTTCCCACTATTATCAACAACAGTGCATTTGACCTTATACATTTAGCCTTACATTCTGGTGCTTTAATTTCTGGGGGAGAGATTACAAGAAATGGGTTAGCTGGGCCAAAGAATATTTATAAATATTTTTAATTTTAGCAGAAACTAATTGCATGTATTTTTAAAATTAGGGCTACGATGTGGAATGGCATTTTAAAAATGAATCACCTAACTACAAATCAACCATCTCACTAACCTCACTTCAAATGCAAAGTATGTTTAAGCTCTGCTTTAAGTAGAGAACTGGGTTCTTAGACAATCTCTCATTGACAGCACTTTTGGTGTTGAAAATTCCATGGTTTATTCTGTTTCAGAGCATCTTGTATCAGTACTTCCAGTTTGGTATTCCTTCCTGTACTAGAAGGAAGCAGCATCTTAAACTGACTCCTTGCCACTGTCTCTGAATTCTGAGTGCCATTTCTGTCTTTCCTTGGTCCCTTTTTGCAAGGAGAGACTGGCTGTCCGCACTCTTTAAAAGGTATTTTTATTGGTATCTTTTCCTCTTATTCTTTTTTTCCCTCTAATTTTAAAGATCTTTTTATTTGCTGTTCTTCAAATTCAAAAATAACAAATGCTTGTTATAACCAGTGAAACAATAGGAGGATGTATAAACACAAAGCTAATCATCACACGTCGACCTCCTGATGTGATCAATATTAATAGCCTGCTGAGCAGCCTTCCACAACTCCCCTTGCTCATACAAACAGATCAAACATATGTGCACATATGTAAAATTCTGTGTTTTCACCAAAGTATAATCATACTATACACATTATTCTGCAACTTGTTTCACTTAACTATATATATATATATATACACATATATTTATATATATGTGACAATAGACAATATATGTTATTTAAGAAAATATAGTGGAGATACTCTGCAGTCATAAGTTCTTTTCCAGTTCTAGAATTCATTTTTGTATTCCTTTGGAGAACATACAACCATGTATTTGTAATGAATTGTTTAATGTCTTTCTTCCCTGCTAGACTGAGAGCTCCTTGAAGGCAGGGGGCTAATTTTGTTCACCACTATATCTCCAGAATTTAGGGTAGTGCTGCCAGGACAGTAATTGCCTTTATAAAATCTATTTGTTCATTGTTTCAGTGCTTCTTGAAACCTTCAGTCTACTTAAACTGGGTCATTGCCAATACTCAAATGTACGTGTCTTTAGGAACTCAGGCCTGAGTAAATCACCACTCAAAGTTATTTAGATGGAAACTGGTGACAGTACATTAAAAAAATTTGTAAGACTTCGTGCTTTTTAGCAAAAAACCCTTTCTGCCACAAAAAAAATGAATTTTAAAGGGCAGATCACATGTTTAGCAGAAAGAGAGCTCTACACTTATAATTAGAGCTTAATTCTAGTCCCACCTCTGCCATTAATTACTGTGTGGCCTTTAGAAAGTTCCTTATCCTTTCTGGTCCTGGTTCATCTGTTGCTCTAACATTCATTAATTCCAAAACTATGTACTGTCCCCTGCGTGCGGCACTAGATTAAGTGCTAGTGATACAGGGGTGAGTGATATAACAGCTAACAGTTAACGAATGCTTACTGCATGCTTGGTCTTTTGCTAATGGAGTCAAAGGCACTATCTCATTTAATCTTCCATGATAGCACTACCGTGATACTTTCTGTACTTTACAATGGAGGAAACTGAGGCATAGCGAGGTAAAGTAACTTTCCCAGCATACCGAAGGACGCGGTGAAGACAGGATTAGAAGCCGGACAGTGGGGCTTCAGATGCCGTTCCAATAACCTTAGTGATCCTTGCCCTCATAATTCAACGACTATTGGCCTGCATTTAATCCCAGCACAGTACCGGGGGGAGCGCCCTCTTATCAATGGGAGGTTGCAGTGCCTCAGGTGCTTGTCAGAGAAACCACTGAGAGACCTGACACGATCTCAGTCAGGTGAAACACTCTACCTCGCTCTCGCAGTTTCCACAACCGGAAAATGAAGCGGTGGGACGTGTCAGCGGGTCGTACGCACGCACGCCTCTCTGGGCGTCCCATTGGGTACGGGTGAGCGTGCGGGTCACGCCAGCAGGACGCGCTTCTCTGAACTCGGCACGGGGCGGGGAGAAAGGGCGCGCTGCGTGCGCGCGGGCCCTTCCGACGTCGGCGCGGGCGGGCGGCTCCGCCTGGCCTAGGGCTCCTGTGCCCCGCCCCGCTGCCCGAGCCGTTGTGGCGTCTACTTCCGGGCCCTCACCACCTTCAGCGAAACCAACGAGAAGAAACCGCCTGCATGTAGAGCAGCCCGACCAGGAACGTAACCGAGTGGCGCGCGAACGTGAGAGGAAAGCCGTGCGCGGCTGCGCTTTACCGCCCCTGAGCCGCTCTAGACGCGGGTGAGTGCTGGGGCATCGGCCCGCACCTGGAGCTGCCCGCGGAGCAGCCCCCGGAGCGGCCTGACCCCGCCCCTCTCCGGGGAAGGCTTGGGCCCTGGCCCACTCCCAGCGTACTCCACGCGGTGTGTCCGGGCAGGTGCAGTGTGAGGAACAGTGAGGGGGCTAGTTAGAGCGCCGGCTTCCTAGAGGCGCTCCCTCGGCCCCTCCTTGGGGTGCTGAGATGACCATGTTCTCTCCCTCACTGTTGTTCTCCATTTCATCCTCCTCCCTTTTCCATACTCCACCCCAACCGCCTTCATCTAAAAGAATTCATCTCAAAAACCACTCCGGTCGTTTCTGCCTCGCTTGTGCTCGTGTGCGGTTTTAAGTTTCCCTTGCCTCTGCACCAAATATCCTATCATGTGCATCTCTAGATGCTACTCCTTAGAAAAATTTGTGCAAATGATTCATAAGTAGTATCCCCATCAGGAAGAATTCTGACATACATATACCATTATCAATCTAAGAGACACTAGTGAATTATTATACAATGGCCAGACATATTGAAAATTGTGTAATATGAAATGCCAAAATCCTATATAAAATAATTCATTTTGGAGTGCATCTGACAATTCTAAAACAAGCAGAGCTTGTTTCCTGTGAATTTTCTTTTCCTTATTAGAGCTGTGTTTGTTGACCAAGCTCTGTGAGTGACACAGGAAAGCTGTCCTGCCTCTTTCCCACCCGACTTCCCACCCCTCCTTAGGAATTACATCTGTCAAGTTGTTCCACACGTTGTCCTTCTAAGGTAATGGAGGTCAAAGTCCATTTCCTCTAGAAGAAAACCAAGGGATGGTTTCCTTGTAGCAGTACGGTGATGCTGGATGCAAAATATCAATTATGGTTAACAGATCCTACATGTTTTTCCATTTGTAGGAAAACAAGGTTATTCAGTAACTTTTTATTAAATTCTCAATAATATGGGTGGAAGCACTGTTGAGATCTTTATTCTGTAATAGAAAAACCATTAAACTGATGCCAGGATATCTGATTTCTAGTTCAGTTCTATTGCTGACTGTGACTTTGGGTCAGTTACCTAACCTCTGTGGACCCTCTGTTTCCCTATCTGTAAAATGAGAAAAGTGACATTAGATAGCTTCTAAGGCCACTTTCAACTTTAAGAAACAAAGGGAAAATCTAAGTAGCTCAGTAGAACATTCCTTGTGGAGATAGAAGGGAGATTGGGAAAATCTCAACAGTTGTATTTAATGTTGGGTTTTCTTTTAATTTCTAATTGAAATAAAAGTGTAGACTTTTCCCTTTTTACTTCCCCAAAGAATAAGGAAATGCCTTTGGAGGAAATAAAAATGTTCATTAATAGTCCCCAGATATGCCTATATTGACTCAGTTCTCATCCAAATAATTTAGCTATTTTCATTATGGGCTTTTATTATTATACATCAGTTAGTTGAGATACTGTATTGGAAACCATTTAGTCTTAGGAACAAAAGGGTAAATATTAACATACATGGTATCAATTCCAAGATGTACTCAAAACACCTAAGGACAGCAGCCATCAGTTAAATAAAGCACTAGGTTGAGAACAGAGGCCAGCACAGATACCATTGGTGATTTACCAGTTGTAGGTGGTTTTATCTCTTCAATTTAAGGTTTTGTTGTAAAAGTCCGTTTATATCCGCAGAGGTATTTAAATAATATAATGCAAACTTGTGAAATGAAATTCCTTTAAAGAGAATGATGGACAGACAACCTCTGTAATATCAGTTTCTGGGGTTAGTGCTTTGGTTTAATACTTGGTTAATTAAATCCCTATAGATGAAGTGCAAAAATAGCCTCCCAGAAAATTCTATGGCAGCAAGGTGTTGCTGCAAAGTTCCACTTTGTACTGAACAGTAATCAGGTATCATTGGAAGCAAAAAATTCTTAAGACTCTCTTGTGCTACTTGCACTGACTCGATTTCAAGCTTGGGAGCCTTTTTTTTTTTAACATTAAGAGCAAAATGTAAGTATAGGGGGAATATCAAATCAAATCACTAGACTCCTTTTCTATTAAGTATCCTAAGGATCTTTTTCTTCTTTATAGGAAAAATGCTTTCTGAAAGCAGTTCATTTTTGAAGGGTGTAATGCTTGGAAGCATTTTCTGTGCCTTGATCACTATGCTAGGACACATTAGGATTGGTCATGGAAATAGAATGCACCACCATGAGCATCATCACCTACAAGCTCCTAATAAAGAAGATATCTTGAAAATTTCAGAGGATGAACGCATGGAGCTCAGTAAGAGCTTTCGAGTATACTGTATCATCCTTGTCAAACCCAAAGACGTGAGTCTCTGGGCTGCAGTGAAGGAGACTTGGACCAAACACTGTGACAAAGCAGAGTTCTTCAGTTCTGAAAATGTTAAAGTGTTTGAGTCAATTAACATGGAAACAAATGACATGTGGTTAATGATGAGAAAAGCTTACAAATACGCCTTTGATAATTATAGAGACCAATACAACTGGTTCTTCCTTGCACGCCCCACTACGTTTGCTATTATTGAAAACTTAAAGTACTTTTTGTTAAAAAAGGATCCATCACAACCTTTCTATCTAGGCCACACTATAAAATCTGGAGACCTCGAGTATGTGAGTATGGAAGGAGGAATTGTCTTAAGTGTAGAATCAATGAAAAGACTTAACAGCCTTCTCAGTATTCCTGAAAAGTGTCCTGAACAGGGAGGGATGATTTGGAAGATATCTGAAGATAAGCAGCTAGCAGTCTGCCTGAAATACGCTGGAGTATTTGCAGAAAATGCAGAAGATGCTGAAGGAAAAGATGTATTTAACACCAAGTCTGTTGGGCTTTTTATTAAAGAGGCAATGACTAATCACCCCAACCAGGTAGTAGAAGGATGTTGTTCAGATATGGCTGTTACTTTTAATGGACTGACGCCTAATCAGATGCATGTAATGATGTACGGGGTATACCGTCTTAGGGCATTTGGGCATGTTTTCAATGATGCATTGGTTTTCCTACCTCCAAATGGTTCTGATAATGACTGAGAAGAAACAAGAGCATGTATATGATCACCGTGTAGGACATGTGGTGTTATTTGTAGTAACAACTGCATATCCAACACAGCAGTATGTTTCTTTTTTTTTTCGTTTTCAGTTTGGTGGCACTGGTTTATTCACACATTGAAGTTTAGTAATACATTTTAAAATAGGGTGGGGTTTTTTTCCTTAAAACACACATGAGAATTTCAACTGTGTTGGAAAGAAATGTTTTAATAATAATAATTTTACAAATAAAGAATATATTTATAAATAATATATTTATGTGATAAATTCTAAATTATGAACATTAAAAATCTGTGTGGCACATGTTTTTGCTGATTGGTTAAAAAATTTAACATGTCTTTTTAGCTTTCTAAGATATGCAAATGAAATCTCTAGTTGTGAATTTGTGATTAAAGTAAAACTTTTAGCTATGTGTTTCTGTTACTTCTAACGTTGGTTTATGTTCTAAGCCTTCGCAAGTGCCAGTGGATTTGCTTTCTCAAAATACACAACCAAGCAATAAAGGGAATGTTCCCAACCACTGTTAAAGTGAAAGTTGAAATCTATCCCTGAGAGAAAAAGTGAAAATTAATTATAAAGGTTAATAATCTTCCTGGGAGCTAATTTAGTGGCCTCCTCAGCATACACAGTTTCAGTGTAACCCTCTGTACTTCTCTATGCAGATATTGAAGTTGGAGTGGTGACTGTAAAGAATGTAATGTCATTTAACTGTATTGTTTCCCAGTTAATCAAGCTCTCAGCTGTGGCTTGGATAAAAATATATCAGTTGAGATTTATTTACTCCTGCAGAGCAAACGAGTTCTGTGGAAGTCTTCTTTGAAGAACTCCTTTCGGAAGTCTGGCAGTTTCACTTACTTGAATTGAGTCTGTCCTGGCTTTTGTTTACCTGTTCAAATTTTTAGATTTTTCCCATGTCCATGATTGCACCATATCCAACAGTTTTTGGTGTGGAGGCCTTAACCTCACCATTCACCTTGGATTACTCTGCCATTTGCCTGATTTCGGTGGCTACCCAAAAGCTTTATGGATGGTGGATACAACAGCTTCTGTGTTTATAAATGTGTGAAACACTTGGAGCTGACTTGTCCTAAAATCGGGCCTGCACATGCCATATTAAGTCAGATCCATAAGCCCCCATAGGGTGTGAAACCATGACATTTTAGAGGTTAATTTTTCTTGTAACTGGCTTCATGATGTTAATGGTCTCCTACAGCTTTTGCAAGCCAGAAAGAATTTCCTCAAGAGGGCTTCGGGCTTCAAATTATTGATCATCAGAGTAGTGTGTAAAACCCTTTGTTTTAATTTATAGATTTTCCTCACTGGGGCTCTTGATTAAAATGAAAGGTTATTAATTTTGAAAAATAATAAAACCCTTTTATCAAGCACCCAAACATGTGGTCTCAGATGTAATTACTACAAACCAAATCATATTCAGTGTGAGTGCAATGATAAACAGTATCTCACTGAGTGTGACACCCAGTTTACAAGTGTCACATTGCCCCCAACACCAGTATCTTAAAACTTTTTCTACTATATTTATCGCCTTCAATTACATTAGTGTATCAAGGTATAGTTGTAATAAATATATCAGAAAATGCATTCCATTGTTTGATTTCCTAGTGGGTACTAAAGTAACAATTGCTTTTTAAACCAAATTGATGCTCTTGATTGTATTTTTTTTTCTTTTTTTTTTTTGCGGTACACGGGCCTCTCACTGTTGTGGCCTCTCCTGCTGCGGAGCACAGGCTCTGGACACGCAGGCTCAGCGGCCATGGCTCATGGGCCCAGCCGTTCCGCGGCATGTGGGATCTTCCCGGACCGGGGCACAAACCCGTGTCCCCTGCATCGGCAGGCGGACTCTCAACCACTGCGCCACCAGGGAAGCCCTTGATTGTATTTTTATACATGAGTATTCCTTTATAAAATGTTAGTTGTCTTAAATAATATGCTGTCTCCTTGAACTTATTTGTACCTAGTCTTGTAGATAAATTTGGAATCAGTAACACAGAAAATTGTGCTACAGAAGTCATGGTTACAGATTTGATCATCATGCATTCAACAGCCAAAAACTATAACCCTAACTCCACTCTGTTATTGGGAAGAGAGTCGGGAAGAGTGGAGGTCTAATGGGAATTGATCATGATTGTGAATATATTTTACATATGGCTGGGTAATTCCTACTATATTGGACAACACAGGTCTAACCAGTTCTGGAAGTGTGAGGCCCACTGGCTGAGATGTGAATGAGAGAAAACTTCAAGTTTCTTCTAAAAGTTATATTTATCTTTCTGGTTTTCTTGAATGCAGTGGAAACTGCAGCCTGACTTTCAGCAGGCCCCAGGCCATCTCCTTGCACAAGTTCAATCGCTAGACCTTCTTTCTCAAAACATTGGATTTCGAGCAAAATATAGATTAGACCCCTTGGCTTTTTTTTTAATGTAGCTAAAATACTGCTTGTGTATCAAATCTGATTTATAATGCCCAGATTCAGGGAACACCTGTATTAGAAAAGTTACTGAAAGCACAGAGTTTAGTAATGGTGTACCACTAATTTTCCACTCAGTTTAAGTATTGTGTTCCTTTTAGTGCTAGCTGACTTGGATTGATGCATTCAATGCATGTCTGAGTGTTTATGTGAAGAGCCTGTTTGTAAAAGTTTAACTTTCTTTTGGCATTCAAAGAAATTCAGGGAAGGTTTTGCCAACCTTCCCACCAAGGAATCCCCCAAAGTCTAATGAAAAAATAATCACTCAATTCCAGTATCATCAAAGATAAAATACTATAAAGTATTCAAAGGTTAATGGGGGAAATGACTTATTTAGAAAGTATGAAATGATGGTGTATGTCTGGGGTCTCTAGCATAATAGAAAGAAAAGTCCACTTTTATTAGTGTGGAATCTATATACTATACTACTCCTTGTATATATTGAGTATCTATGAGCTTAACACTAGACCTGGTATTTTGTGGAAAGCAAAAAGAGCCCAAACACATGATTCATACAGGGAGTCAAATAATCATTTCATGTAAGCTTTGCACGAGCAATAAAACAAGCCATTGTTTACTATTAGAATATGGTGGTCCTCTTTGCCTTAAAAGTCCTCAATTTGATAAGTGCTATTTCTCTTAACCCACATAATTCCCATTTCTTTGATAGTTTTCACTGATTCCATGCAAGAATGGCCACATTGGTTTTGCCATTGCTTTGGCAATTTAGTGAAAGCCCTGGCAGGAAGAGCAGGGCCTAAAAATAAGACTCAGATGTTCTATGAATGGATGGATGGATGGGAGTGAGGACGGATGCCATGAATTATGGGACAGGCTTGTGTTTGGAAAAAAGTAAGAAATGCTTCTAATGAGTGACTGATAAGAGACATCCACAAAGGTACTCAAAGTGCTGAATAAATGGGGATGTTCTAACAGTCAAAACACCAACCCCATACCATCTGAGGGGAAAAGGGGAAAAGTGGTCCTAACTTGATGAAGACTTTATTTTTTAATTAATTTTTACTGGAGTATAGTTGATTACAATGTTGTGTTTCAGGTGTACAGCAAAGCGAATCACTTATACATATACATATATCCACTCTTTTTTAGATTCTTTTCCCATATAGGCCATTACAGAGTATTGAGTAGAGTTTCCTGTGCTATACAGTAAATCTTTATTAGTTATCTATTTTATATATAGTAGTGTGTATATGTCCATCCCAATCTCCCAACTTATCCCTCCCCCCAATGGAAGACTTTAAATACTGGCACTGAGAATCTTCTTTTCCATATTTGCCACTCTAAGGTATTCACCTCCAGAAGGAAGCTTCAGGGAATACTGCCTGTTCTCCATCCCAATGCCATCCAACAGAAATATAATGGGAGCTGCATGTGTAGTTTAAAATTTTCTAGTAGCCACATTAAAAAAGACAGAGGTGAAATTACTTTTAGTATTATATTTTACTTAACCCAATATATCCAAAATATTGTCATTTCAACATGTAATCAACAGAAAAAATGAGATAGTTTACATTCTTTTTTTAATTAAGTCTTCAAAATCCAGTGTGTATTTTACAGTAACAGCACAGATCTAACCAATTCCAGAAGTGTGAGACAACACCCCACCCCGGGGCTATCATGTGAATGGGAGAAAACTTGAAGTTTCTTCTAAAAGGCCTGTTTATTTTTCTGGTTGTCTTGAAGGCTACGGAAATTGCAACCTGACTTTTAGCAGGCCCCAGGCCATCTCTTTTCATGAGTTCCATCACTGGATCTTCCTTCTCAAAATTAAGTCATTGGATCCTCCTTCTCAAAATTAACTCATTAGATCTGGAGTAAAATATTGATTAGGCCCCTCAGCCTTTTTCCTTAGATTATAATTGAACCAAATTGCTCCTGTCAATTTTAATATTCACTAATCCTTTTCCCAACCTATCTTTTGGATGTATTGATAGTCACAAAGCAGCTGCTAGTTCTGCCTTTGCACTTACACTCTACCCTCATCTCCCCCACTTAACCAACCCTCCCCCTTGTATCCTTTTCTTTAAAAATCCAGGAAAGGCTTCTAAATGGTATAACCTTTAAATGGTCACAAATCACCTAGCCTGAAGGTGACAGAAAAAGTTCCGACCTCAGGACTAAGTTCAATTTCAAAAGATTCTCCCAGAATACCCTGCTAATGAAGAGGGAAACAGAACATTCCTCAGAAGCACACTGCAAGCAACCCAGTCTTACTGCATTCTAATCCTACCCATATTTTCCCACTGTGGAATAGAGGCTTGGCTAACTTACACTTCTCTCCAATAGCCCATAAACAAAGATGGTGATGCAACTGTGGGCCAAGATTAACATTTTATGAAACGTGAGGGGAGATTTTCTGCAAAATAGGCGTTGCGGGAGGGAGGTAGGGAGGTTTAAGCAAATTCTGAGTGTAAATTCTTTATACGTGAAGTATGAATGGAAGGTAGAAAAAGTCTCTTCTAGCATGTAATCTCTTTGTCAAAGAATATTTCTCTTGACTGTTTTAACACTTTACCACTCAAGTATTTTTACAAGTTCTGAATTAATTCCAAGTGTTTTATGTATTTTTTCATATTTACATACCATCTTGCCTGAAGTTCTTGCTATTTTTTTTTACATCTTTATTGGAGTATAATTGCTTTACAATGGTGTGTTAGTTTCTGCTTTATAACAAAGTGAATCAGTTATACATACATATGTTCCCACATCTCTTCCATCTTGCGTCTCCCTCCCTCCCACCCTCCCTATCCCACCCCTCTAGGTGGTCACAAAGCACCAAGCTGATCTCCCTGTGCTACGAGGCTGCTTCCCACTAGCTATTTTACGTTTGGTAGTGTATATATGTCCATGCCACTCTCTCACTTTGTCACAGCTTACCTTTCCCCCTCCCCATATCCTCAAGTCCATGCTCTAGTAGGTCTGTGTCTTTATTCGTGTCTTACCCCTAGGTTCTTCATGACATTTTTTTTTTTAGTTCTTGTTATTTTATTCAACCATGGTTAAATTTTAGAAAAATTCCAGCTTGTTCTAAAAACTGTTTACTTGCATATCAGTGACACTTAGCTTTATTATCAATAAGTTAAAAGCTTAATTTTGAAATTTTGGTGCATTTTCAGGTGGCCTCTCATCTTCCTGAAGGTTGATACTTATTTGCTAAAGGCCCTACAGATGTTGAGATACTTAGCTTTTAATGCATTTGTATAAGCACATTTATAGATTTCAGAAAAATTGTCTAGAATTATCCTACTTTTAATGGTGAGAAAAGGAT